ATATCCAGCACGCACCCCTTGCAGCCCTTCCACATCGAAAGGCCGATGTCATAGTTTGCGAATCGAGCGATTCGCTAGCGAATCGCTGGATCCGAGCGTTGCGCCAGCGAATCGAACGTTGCACCAGCGAATCGAACTTTGCACCAGCGAGTCGAACGATGTACCAGCGAGTCAATAGTACCAGGGACTCAATAGTGCGGCACCCAACGCCCAAAAAGCCTACCTGTCGAACACTGTCACGTCCAGTGGAACCCTTTCAAAGACGGGCTCTTGAACGTTGATCCCCACATGTCGCTGGTACATCGTTGGACTCGCCTGTGCGTAGCCCGACTCGCTGGTGCATCGGTCGGTTCGCCTGGTGCTTGGTTCGCTGGCGCAACGTGCGATGCTAACGTAACGCTCGAATCCAGCAATTCGCTAGCGAATCGCTCGATCGCGCAAACTATGACATCGGCCTAAGTCTTGGTTTTTGCTAACCGGAAGTAAGTGGATTTCGGCGCCTTATCACTCCGTTGATAAGGCGCCACTGCCACTGAAACTTCACGTGTTCTAACATTGGGCAGGACCCTATCCACTCCAGTACACAGCTTTCCTTATCGTCCCTAATGATAAGAAATTATCGTGACCACTTCCTTCAATACAATCCTAGTATCCTATCGCCTCCTATCCCAATCTTCCAAGACGCGAACTACGAGCGGTCTTAGCGCTATCAAGCAGTAAGTTTTTGGTGCAAAACTGGTTAGAGAGGGAGGAGCTCGATTATTGAGTACGGTAGCGCGCAGTGTTCGCAGTCACGTTAACAGATCAGTGATAGTCGATAAGACGACGCGGTTCATGGTCTGGCCTGTGGGAATTCACAAGCAACAATCATTTTTCCCAGAGCTTCTCCATCCTCCCACAACTGGTCCTATGTAGGGGCCTAAAGAGGGCAGATATCACAAGTCAGGGTCATAAGCGTGAATCACATTGAAAGGAGTTTTCGCGATGAATCCTATATGAACAAACAACAAAAATGGGCGGTCATGTCCTTAGGGGGGACATTCGGAACCGGGCATCTGTAAACTGCTGGAAGGTGACATTAGGACTAAGGCTAGGAGAGGGGAAAAACGTCAAGGAGGACAAAGTTGCTCACGTCCTCTCTCAGAATCAAGTCGTTCTGTGAATGAATGTTCACTTCAAAGCCCCCTCCCTAACGAAATGAGCCCCGGAAAATGCATAGTGGAATGGATAAGAGGTGGGTCGATAGTACAGAGACGACATTTTCGAGACCCACAGCGGGAATCCCAGGTCCACTCATGATCAGGGTGTACCAGTGGTTCTCGCAGACAAAGATCGCACGCTGGGAAAAGCAAAAAATTCACTTCCTGTTCTAGCAACCCACATGCTAGACAGGTAATGGCAGCACACTTGATATGATACCGTTATCTTTATCGTCCGGTTCATTCTAAAGTAGACCTCGGACCAAACAGTCGTGTTTTATTATCTCATGTATCGTATCTTTCATTGGGTACGCTGGTCCACCCATTATGCATCTCACCATCAGCTGTTATCTCGATTCCTCCCACTAGGAAGGTGTGGGACCCTCCCTCACCTCTGAACCAGCGCGATCGATTTCTTTAAGTAAGCTTATTTCGAATACAAGTGGAGGCGCTGGTGCACTACTACATAGAGGAACATCGCTGTGCGGAGCGCCATTACCCCCCTCTCCGCCCTCTGAGCTCCCTCAGGGCTGAGCCTCAGGGGGACTAAGGGAGTGAGGACTTCCTCAGGGCTGACCCTTAGAGGGACTCAGGGAGGGAGGAGTAAATGAGTGCAGTTCCGAATTTCACCGAAGTTCATCCTCTCCAACTAAGTTCGGTCCTCATAGCGATCACCCACCCCTCCCATTGAGTACGGCAGCGCCAACTTAGATTGTTTTCCCATCGAACTGAAGCGCAGGAATGTGCAATTGTGTAATAGCATTGACTTTTGGATTGAAAAGAATGCGGGATTAAGACGGAAGTAATTCGGAAGAGGTTAGCCTTCAGAACAAAGTTGGTACATCTAGAAATATTCGGCCCATCAATGCGTTTCCTGACCAAACTCGGGGCACGAAAATCACTTCCCCCCCAAAAGACGGGACCCCTTGAATGCTCCGAAAATCCGCATGATAAGAGAAACGCTCCGAAAGATCGCGCCCGGAACAAATGACGACCGTGTTTCCATCAAGGGGCAACTGCCAAGACGTTTCAGTGATTTCTGAAAATCAAACGTCGAGCTTCTACAGCTCCATATTCGCGAAGTATTTAGGCGGTCCAGCATTGTTTTGGCAACCTTTTGGTGTTTTTTCGACTTAATACTTATCTTATTTCTCTGATGTATTATTCAGCACAGTATACATCACCATTATTACCAACATATAACCAATGCGAGGGTGGGTATTCAGTGTCTCTCTTGTAGAATTTCATAGAGTTCTGATCGAAGAAATATTGGATGTCGATTTTGACTTTATGGTGATTCAAGTGAGATTTCTTCTCCAGAAGGTGATTGAGAGAGGAGAGCGGATAGTCGTTCGTTGACGCAGGATTAGTGCTATAAGGCGGAGCTAAAAGAACTGACCGCCCGAGAGTCTCCAATTTTTTAGGAATTTTCTTAGCAAGGCGGGCTCGAACGACCTCAGAGAAAAATAGATTTTGTCTTCCTTTGCTTTCAAGTTGAAGGCGTTGCCATCAAGCTGTCAACGATTCTTCCCATCACTGACACTGGTATTAGTTGATGCCGGTCTTCAGCGCAAAGGCCCTCCCGTATTGCGCCAACGACTCAGGAAGTTCGAATTCAGAGGGAGTTGGGTTTGTACTGTCAGAACTCCCGAATCGTTTGAGCAAATCTACTGCGGCTCGTGGATTTGTTAGCACATTGCACCCAGTCCACATCACCAATGAGTATTATAGATGGTCATCCGAAGGAACTATAGGAAACCTACAGGAACTTGATGATGTCAGGATTGGGTTGAGAACTGATTCGGGACTACAATTTTCCTTCGATCAGAACTCTATGAAAGTCCACAAGAGAGGCACTGAATACCCACCCTCGCATTGGCGATATGTTGTTAATAATAATGATGTATACTATGCTGGATAAGTAGATCAGAGAAATAAGATAAGTAATAAATCGAAAAACACCAAAGGTTCTCAAAAATTGTGGACCGACCTAATACATTGGAAAAGGTGTTTGGATGTTGGAACCCAAAAAAACCCTGCGCCAAAGAAGTGCCCACAAGCCCACTAAAACTACAGGCGGAACGATCTCCTCAGCGATCAGTTCAAGGAGTAAGCTGGTCCTCAAGAGCCTGGTTCGTGAAAAAGTTGATGTATTTTTGCGCTTGAAATGAGTGCAGAGATCCGGATTTGAACGACGGTGAAGAAAAAACGGGAGGATCCGTCGACAAGGTCCAAAATGAGAGCTCAGCAGCGGCGAACGAGGCTGGCATAGGAGTATGCTGACCGAACGAGTTTTCCGAACATGCCAACCACTGCTGGTGGGTGTCCCCCAAGAGGCCCGTCGCGCGGCAAAGGACGAGTCGCAGCGCATACTGTAGCGGTTAGGCGTCAGGTTAAATAGAGTGTACCATACTACGTCTCATATCGCACAGCACGCGCTGCGACTCGTCCTTTGCCGCATCTGCGTCTCTTCCTTCGCCGCGCGGGGCCTCTTGGGGGACACCCTAAGCCCGGATAGCAGTTGATACGGTAGTCAATCAATCTGCGTTGGACAAAGTCCAACGAGGGGTGGGGGGTCGTATTTGGGGTGGAAAAGGGGGGTCGTATTTCGAGGTAGCGTTAATGTTACAGTAAGGGAAGTGATGATGCAGTTGGTTGGCGCGCTAAAATTTTGCCGTTTCACGGTGTGTATAAGCCCCCTAGGAAATGTTGGTGAAATAGAGGGAAAGTGAGAGGATGTTTGCGGTTTCGTGGTAGGTATACCCCTCCCCTCCCCCGCTCGACGGCAATTTTGGAGGAAAAAGTGGGCGGAGTTTGGGCTGTGTCGACTGGTCTCAGAATCGAATACTATAGAATGAGCCCCATGATGGCGATGGCAGGCGAGGGTGGTGAAGGGTTGACCCTGAGGGGGTCGTATCGAGGCCCTCTAGAAGGGGGAGGGGGTCGTAAAATTTTCGAAATCGGTCCAACGTGACGGTTGACCCTGCAGCCAACCCTGCCGATTGTGCGTCCTACGCCAGCCACGCACCACTTCTGGCGGTGGGCAGTCATACCTCACATCTTCCTGAATCCTTGCCCCGCAAGCGTTATTACCTCTCGGTTTCGAGTCACGAGCGCGCCATCACCTCTATGGCTGCAGCCGTTGTATTGAAGGAGAGAGCACCTATGACTATCTAATAATTCCAGCCTATGCCTAAAGGAGGTGGTGAGGATTATGACTGTTTTGAAAAATCCTAAACGCGATGGTTGACCTCGCCCGCAACCATCCAAAGTGGGGCGTAGCTGTTAATTACCCAGGCATGTATTTCTTTCCAGCAATCTCTAGATATGCGCAACTATTTAGTTTGCTCTCACATTACCCAACTCATCTGAATGTAGCCCTTGCAAAAAATGGCTGGGTCCATAGGATTACTCACCAGCCATCGATACGAGATGATATTTCGAAGAACAGCGTTTTAAGGTAATTAACTTAAGAAAAAACAATGGCCCTCGCAATCCATGGGGTGCCGATTTTGAAGAGATCCAAATGAAAAGTGAATACATTGGAAAAACACTGAATGTAAAAATATTCGTGGAAGGACGGTACGTTTCTTTTTGTTTACAGCTATTGTAGAATTCATTAACATGGATTCAGATTTGAACCACCTGTGAATTTACCACGAGAACCGTCCGAATCTGAAGACAGCTTACAGGTACTGTTAAATGGAATCATTTCACAGGGACCTGACTGACATGGCACATAATTCATGAAGTTGCGAATATTTGCGCTAGTGTTCGACGCCCTAAGCTCTGCAAGCTATTCGCGTTAGTGTTCAAAACGCAACGTAGCCTTAGTAGATTCGTTAGCTCCCATGTTGCCATTAGCACGGGCGTAATGCTCCAAATGAGTACTCCGAGTGTTGAGCCAAGAAACAGACGACCCCGAAGATGAGAGAGCATGAAATGCAAGTGAGATGGGAACAGCGCACCAGTAGCGAAGGAATGCATGGATGCAGGCCGAAGCGCCCCACGCTGGTTAACAAAGCTTATAGCTCGTCTTTCTACCCACTTTTAAGTCGCAAAAGTGATATATTAGGACATCTGCGGACAGCGAAGTAGTGATCAACCTGAATTCATGGCGGAGCTGTTTCTGGACATAGGTAAGAAATCGTTGCGAAAGGCGAATGGTAGGCTGAACTACACAAAGCGCATTTGTCATTAGCCAGAAGGTGATGCAGAATATTCAGGGTTTTCTTTCCAAAGCAGTTTTAAACATTTCATAAGGAAAAACAGTAAGCATATAACATGAAGTGATGAGAGATTTTATCTAAGACAATGGCCTTCTTGTGAAGGCAGAAAGGACTTGATTGCATTTATCGCAGGAAACTTGGGGTGCTTACCCACCAGAATGAATCAAGCTTAGATGAACAAGGTCGTTCTAGAATGGTTGTACATATTTGTTGATCTCATCTCTCGCAGCTGGTGCTTCAAGTCGCTCTTGAGAAGATAGTCTAATGGATTGATGCAGGGCTATATAGCATAAAGGATAAAGCATTTGCCGTTGATCAATCCCTTTTTGGGATGCGGCACGCATTCTACTTTTGTACATTCGTAGTGGCGTTTGAATGCGATGTGGCCTATACAATGACTTGCGGGGCCAGCCGATGTACAAGTCAGTGTTTTTATCCTCCCAGACAAGTCTGGTACCAATTAACCGACCCCGGAGGGATGGAAGGCTTGGTTGGCCCGGGCGACTCACGACCCAGGATTTGATCCCGGACCGCTCGCGTGGTAAGCGTGCCACTTGCCACTACACCACTTCCGCCCGTGCAGGGCTATATGAGGGATATTGTATTGTGGTACAGCCGATTCCCTCAAAACATAGGAAGTTATCGTTGCAGTGTGAGATTACGCATTCATTCAGAGAAAGGATTTAGAAACGCTTCGAGGAGTTTTCGGCAAACCTTCTGAGCTGTTCCACGGTGGCTTTGCAATGCTTGTCTACAAATAGCAATGCGGTGTTTAAAGCAGAATATCCAGGCAATCCAGCAATCAAGGCGATTCTTTCAACACGTGGTGTGGATTCTGAGCGAGGTGGTGGATCCATTCTGCATGGTGTCGTAATGGAGCTCATTACTCATTTTCATTGGTGATCCCGTCTCTGCGGCAGCAAGGGAGATGATCAGAGGTGCTTCTAGGTCGTGCTCGGTTGGTGCATGAGGTTTTCACCGAGCTCCACTCTGCTGCAGCCCACTCCACTCAGATTGCAAACGATGACGCATAGGCTGTGTCCCTGTGTCTGCAGCAACCCTTGATTGCAGCGGTACGGATACATTCCCAATTCATAGCGCAAGAGATCCTCATCGAAACTGGCTGGAAGGTAAGGTTAATCTCCATCTCGTGTCGCCTTGCCATTCGACTGAACCGCATGCGTCCACATATCATATAGAAAACTTTTCCAAGAAGTGAAGCACAATCTGGGATACCTTCCCAATTAGGCTCTGTAAGCTAATGACTACATAGAATAACCGTGAGGAACATCACGTTTTAATAACTATTATGCAAAGAATTGTGGAATGCGATATTGAGTTCATACACCTGAAACTTTACAGCTTTACACGAACGTTTCTGATGACATTTTCTACTTTGTGGTTAAAAGAATGTCCACGGGAAGAAGTCTTTTCAACACTTCAGTGGGTCCGTGGACACTTTGAACAATTTTTTCTCTTTTACACAACTGCTTACTTATATTTTCCTTTCAAGGTGGGTTAATATTCTCCGACAAGTTCATACAAATAGTCGCCATGCTGCCATCAGATAGAATGTATGGATTGGGAGAACAAGTTCATCTCACTTTAAAGGTTCATCGACATATTATAAAGCCTATGAAGTAGATTTTGTTGTTTTGCTATATTCTTCGTTCAGCATGACTTTTCCGTTTATCGAACATGGCCAATGTATGCAAGGGATGAATTTCCTTTCACCGAATATGTGGACACAAAAAATCTTTACGGTACTGTTTCCTGGAACAATTTCATACATTTTTTTCGAGAATTACTCGTTAAAACGACCCTGGCCCCAACCTCGGGAGCGTCAACATTAAGCATACATAGTAATAAGGTCCCTTTTATACTTTGCGAAGACGACATTGCGGACTGTACAGCCAGTGCGAACAGTGGAAAGCGACAAAACACACTCTGGCTAACGCGTACCCGGGGCAAAGTCGGTGCTATTCGAATAATTCCTGTGTATTTTTACTTGGTTTTGGTCGCGTTTTTTCTAGCAGGAAACTTTTTCCGGCTATAAGTCGCTTTCTCGGTACTTTCTGGACGGATAGCGCCGTTAAGTGCTTGTGAAAGTGGTTCCAAGCTCCAAGTGACTTTATTGGTGAGCAAAAGTAATGCTTCATATGAAAAAAGCTTTACGGGAGATGCTGTTCTAAAGTTAAATTTGACCGATTGAAATGCACCGACTGTGCGCCAATTACGCGGCGCGCGCCAGCGCATGTGTTGGCACTCTTCGCAGTATCCACACTGACCGCACCGACTGCCTGTGACTGACGTCATAGTCGGCGACGGACCAAGCGATGGAGCGATCGCTCATCGCTTGTCCGTCGCTTGCCAATCGCTCTCGGTCGAGCGATTGGCAAGCGATTGCGCAATGTGCACAAGCGACGGGCGATTGGCCCCGCCCCCAGTCAATGCAGTCGGCTGCGGTATCGATCGAGCAGAGCCATTGCCCGTCGCTTGTGCACTTTGCAAGCGATTGCGCAATCGCTTGCCAATCGCTCGACCAAGAGCGATTGGCAAGCGACGGACAAGCGATGGAGCGATCGCGATCGCTCCATCGCTTGTTCCGTCGCCGACTATGACGTCGGTCTGTGCGCAGGTCTTGCCGCCGCGCATAGTAAAAAAGCGGTCAAAGCTAAGGCGGTGAGTTTGCAAGCCGACGTGAAACAAGTTACCAGCTGGATTCTTTTTTGCTGCTATTTCCCCTCTTATAGTGTGTAACCCAGTAAACAAATAAAGAAAATCTAATTTCTCAGGAGTTCACCCTTTCTACATGATCCTGGAACCAGACGGAAAAGCGCATGGTGTACTTATCTTCAATTCTAATGCACAGGTTCGTGAAATTTTCTCAGACTGGCATGAAATAGAGAAAGAACTGAAAAAATTCGTATTTGCAGGAAGTGACAACAGCGCCAGGTCCAGCGCTGATTTATAGAACGACAGGAGGGAATCTGGATCTGTACTTCTTCCCTGGACCATCTCCTGGAGAAGTTACCCAGCAATATTTAGCCTTTATTGGAAGACCCGTCCTTCCGGCCTACTGGGGGTTAGGATTCCAGGTAAGGCCATTGAAGGATCTACGACATATAAGTGCTACTGGTCTGGTGGTATTCAAAAGCACTCGTTACAAAATGGAATATTGTCTTTTGGTTGTGGAGCTAACTAAGTCAATTTTAATCTATGTGAAGAGAGCTTACGAGGAGTTAAACTCACAACCAGTTGCGATAAAGTGAAGGAAGGTATAAATGCTTGGTGTTGGCACGGGAATTCAACTTACTAGCTCCAGGTAGAACAGAAATCGAAGAAATTCCAGTTTCCAGAAAAGTTCCGAAGCTATCTTCCACGTTGAAAATTCCATCTTTAAGGATGTGAATGAAAAGGATTACTTAGGCTTTGTTCCTCCCGTACTGAACACATCGGGCGACGGATTCTTTCCACCTTTGCCGGTCCTGTGCAATCTTCCTTCCTCTTAGAAACATTCATGATCTTGAAATCCTTCTCGAATGTTCGCCTCCTCGTGTTTCTGGGACATCCTCTTCCTCGCTTGGCGCCTGGAAGTATCCAATTCATGGTACAAAGCTACGCCGTTGTTGGTTCTAAGCCAGGATGAGAAAGGAGGGGGTTGGTGCGAAGGGCTAGCAACCCTTCCGCCGTAAAAAACCCCAAAGCTAAAGAAACGACGAAAAAGCATATATCTGTTGCATCGAGGGAACCTAACGTCCGCCTTATGACGGATAACCTCCCGATTCGGAGTTCGATTTTCTCACCTAAAAATAAAACATTCATTGCTTCTCGGAACGTGCGCACGTTGAACCAGACTGGAAGCATGATGCTTACTGAAATGATAGAGGCTATCAGCATAACATGTGCAAACGACCTCCTAATTGGTTGCTAGCTCGTCCATTATCGGAGGTCAACGGGCAAAGAAAGGGGTCCCATTTTGCGCCTTCTTGACGGATTTTGCTTTTTTCGCCACTGGGGCATTATTCAGCATCCCCACTTCCACTATGAACCCAGTCCAACCTTATCGTAATCCTCGTTTCGAAACAAGAAAAAAGTTTAGTTTCTATCTTAAAAGGCATGTTCACCCCTTAACAGAAGTAATCCCAGATGAAGGGCTTACTAATGGGGCGCACGCTGTAAAAGAGACACATGATACCGGAAGTTTGCGCACACCTCTTAAGACACTAACTTTAACCTGTTAGGCAAAATAATTGTTTTAGATCTCGCGTTGGGGTTATAAAGATTTCGACGAATTGAAGAAAGTTATCTCAAGAAATATGGATGCTGGTATTCCTCTAGAAGTAGTAGTCTTTGACATTGACTATATGGACAGGTACAAAGACTTTACACTCAATCCAGTGAGTTTTAATTTTATGATGATTAGGACTGTTCTTTGTGTTCATAATCAATGAACTTTCTGGCGGTGTGTTTGTGGTCCCTCCTTGTGAACAATGTAAATATTCTGAAAGTTGAGTTTTCATCACCTAAAGGCATACGCATCATTAGGAAAATTACATGCTGTAAATGAGCTGATGTAGAGCAAAGGCCGTAGACAGTGCGATAATATCCGTCGCTAGTCACGAGATGCCCTTCAAACGTTAGTGAACCTTATTAGCTCACGACTGATTGTGAGTCGACCGCCTCCAGAAAGAGCTCTGTCTTGAAAATTTTCCTCTCCGACTGACGACAGTAGCTGAAAGCTCACACATTAAAGCCAGCACACCATTTTGTGCAGTTTCAGAGTTTTTCACGCGTAATATTAATACGTTCATGTAAATATTCTGAGATAGAACCAAATAGAAACAAAGAAAAATTCTATCTAAAGC